ATTGCAGTGTTAATGAACGCTGTCTCATTAGGCTACTGGAGTTCATGGCACTATCAGCTGGGAGTCCATTCTTTGGATGGCATGAGATACAATCTCACGGTGAATAGCACAGGCATACTGTTGAATGACTTTATTTATTATAATTTTTTTATTATTGTTGTTTTCATTATTCAAAAAATCACTCTTGGATGTATACCGCTATATGATGCATTTTCAGAGCCACTATTGACGTAAAATAAAACAAATATTAACTTTGCTGGGCCAAAGTTTCTTTTGTTGTTTACATCAGAGTGAGTCAGGAAGACTTAGAGAAACGTGTTTGCATGATGGTGCTGAGTTCATACATAATGCCATCAGGGCTGCTGTCACCCTACAAACAGCTGGTGCTGCAGCAGCCCCAGCACCCCTACTCCCCACGGTGATGAAAAGCTACCATGTCTATCTAAGAGAGCCTATAAGAGCCTTTATGATACGGCGAGCTCTGGCTTTAGGCTCATGCACCTTGTTAACACACTAATCTTGCTTTGTAGTCCATCCCTCCTGTGTACCAAGATCAGAATTTACATTTATATTTTATAATCTGACCACCAAATGTCAGTTTCTGCCATGAGTTTCTATGAAAAAATTAGAATGAACAATTTCATGTTAAATTCAATTGGAAAAAAACTATAGAAATAATTGAGATGGCGTCATTTTTTTAGTTTGTTGGCAAAGTTATACAGGTTATTGTCCACGTACGTGCTGCTCAGTCAGTGCAGTGTTTGTGAAAAATAAAATTCAAAGTTAATGATGGGAAAAAAATGCATGTGTCAAACTTTACCTTGGTAAAATATTTGTGTGGATGTTTCCTGTCCACACTGAAGAAGTTTCCCACAAGGGGAAGAGCCAACGGTCCTGGAGGATAATTTGGAGGATTCCTGTTTTTTAAGAAGTCTGCTATTAGGATAAAAATAAGTATGAACAGGAAAAGCCCTGTGAGGTCACAACCAAGTAAAAATTTAAAAAGCCACATTGTTAAAAAGAGTTAAACCGGCAGCAGGAGGATGGTTTGAGCTGTTCAGGACTTCACACGACACACAACCTTCATAACAGGACAGGCAAGTAAATACAAATCAGCAATGTCCTTGCATAACCTGATACAGACACGCCCATGTTCACCTGGCAAACAAGGTCTCTGCCATCTTACCTGGAGCAAAACCAACCTTAGCTTGGCAATATGATAGCACACACTCGGTGCCAAACCTGTCCTTCAGTAATCTTAGACATTCATGTTTAAGTGTAAATGGAGTCCAGACAAAAAAATACAGTGCAGTGGAAAAACCCATCCAACTGATCCATTGTGCAGTTGCATGTATTTGAGTCACTGCCAGCAGGAGCAGATCAATATGACACAGCACCTGGTTGCCATAGTCAAATCCCAGGTCACTGTCTCTGTGAAGCAGAGGGAAAAACAAACAGTCAGTTAGTTTGTGGTTGTCAGACATGTTGATTGGAAACACAGCAGTAACTCAACACAGTGAACACCATAAGCCACTTCGTCCTTTATCATGAAGGTGTCAGTGAAATCTCAAGAGCTGGTGGGGTCTAAATCCAACTTGTGCCTCTCCATCTCTGCCCTGATAGATGCCTCCAGACATTTGCTGTAGTTGCCATTGTGAGGTCCCTGCAGGCGTTTCATTAGTGCCCAGAATGCGTCATGTAGCTGCTAGAGAGGAAACAGGGGAGTTGCTCTCTGGTGGTGTTTATATCCATTGGCAAGTAAAGATATCACTTTAGCTTAAGCAATATTTTCTAATACAGAGCTTTAATGTACAAAGCCTTTGGTAGCTCGTATAGTCACTTGAGACAGATTCATTTAGCTCTGAAGGCAACAAACCTGTTGATTAAAAAAATCTGGGGGTATGGAGTTACTCAAGCAGAGGCAGTTAGCCTCAAACTGCTGGCTTCAAGCAGAGATGAGGAGTGGACTACTAAAGTCTAAATTACACTCTATAGTCTAAATGGCTTTGGACTGTTTTACCAGTGCCCTCTTGTGGTGAAATGTGCAACTGTGCCCTTGAGAGGAGGGCAAAGTGGACTTTGGGCAAGTGATTGTGAGCTAATCTACCTGTGGCTTGCTCATGCTGATGGTAGTTTAGCTGCTTTCTGGTAAAACTGTTGGATTTGGACAATGTTTGTAGTCTGATATGTAAATGACATAAAAGTCTGTTGAGCTTTCCACCTTTGGAATCTATACAGTCTCTGGGAATCATTACCATAGACTGTATCAAGGATTCATATTATTGGATTTATTGCCGATATCCAATATGCTGATATATAACAATTTATTTGACCAATAATCAATACAGATACCGATATATCCACTTTTTTCTCTTTCTAATTTAGTGATCACCAAGTCTCTTCTTTGGTCACATTAACATCATACTATGCATGTATATTTTTATCCTGACGGCCCACCAGCAGATGGAGACATGAAATGCAATACTTTTAAATGTATGTAATATTTATTCATTGTGCAAAATAAGAAAAAGCATGTTGGCTGATTCTGATAGTTCATTTTAAGGCCAACATCAGCCGATACTGATGATGTGCGGAAATTGTTGTGCATCCCTAGACTGTATATAAAGATGGACGATGCACCCCCACTTACCCCCGCTATGGGTTAGCGAGGCCAAAATATCCTGGATACAACCACTGGTATCTTGCGCAGGTGACCTCATTCGGAGCCAGAATCTGCGCAGTAGCGATCTCAGCAGTGAAGGAGTTCCCGTCTAAACAACTGTCTGGTAAATTGCGTTCAGGAACATTGAATGCGAGCGCACCGACTGGCACATGCAGCTGTCAATCATGGCGTCAAATCCCTGTTTTATAGCATTAAATAACTACTTGAAACCAAACTTATCGGGAAAACGAACACTTGAACAAATCTCAGGGTGTTACGCACCCACACCCCTAGACCGGGGCGTAACACCCTGAGATTTGTTCAAGTGTTCGTTTTCCGTTTCCCGTTTTTTACTGATGAAATCAAAATGATCAAAAACACACTGTACAATATCGCACACAAAATGGAGCAAAAGACGTCAGGGTGAGCCCAGGCCAAAACAACAAACAAAAAGCAACCTGTCTACCGACCGGCGAAATAACTAATCCCTAACAAAACAAAAGAAACAGAAATACAATACTAGGCCTAACTCCCTAGGCTAATGAAAAACAGGAGAAAACAGGTATAACAAAAATAGCAGCTCACCCCTACGCTCCGTGCAAACAACAATATGTGACAATGACTATTTACAATATACACAAACGACTCAGTTGGCCCTAAGGCGCTGGTCTTAACAAAAGAATTAATTATTTAGCAAGCAAGCTAAATAATCACACGTGGATCACACAACAAAGTACTTATCAATCACAAAACCAGAGAACGATACAATGTGCTGCTGCCATGTACGAGAGTGGGGCCGTGGCTTCCGTGTGGCCGGCGTTATGAAGGCCGAGCCCCTTGCTCCACCAACCCGGCAGCGGTGACGTCACGCTTGTTATCCAGTAGGCGACCGTTGACACTGAAGGCCGAGCCCCTTGCTCAGCCAATCCAGTCGGAGCAACGTCACGATCGTCCAGCGAATCACCTGCACACCTGTTAACACAACACACACGATCTCCAGACAGAAAGAGAGGTCTGACTCTCCACTAAACATGATGATCAAATCCATAGACTACATAGACATAAACACATACACATAATAAATACACAGGCGGCTGGGGAACGTAACACAGGGTGATAAGAACTACAGTAAATGACAAAAAACATCTTTTGGAAAAATTTATTTGATGTCTACTTTGTGTATTTAGTTTGGCTCGTCTGATTTGCTAACATGAAGGGGCGGGCTTTATGACCTGTACTGCAGCCAGCCACCAGGGGGCAATCGAGATGGTTTGACTTCACTTATTAGGAGCTGTCATGACATCTGTCTTTATATACAGTCTATGATCTTCACTGCTAGGCCACCCGCCCCCCCTCCTCCAGGTGGCCTTGATGGTTCTTCACAGTCTCTTCAAGAGTCTGGGACATCTCTTGTTGACACCATATATGTTAAGATTGTTTATAGAATACAGCAGGTATTGCTGTCTACTGTCATTCCTGATACTACCACTAGATGACACCAACACAAGGCATTCTTAAGCCACTTTTACACTGCCAGATTTTCGGCGAATGTTGGGCCGTTTTGCCAGCAAGCTGCGAGCGTTTAGACACACAGAGCCGGATTGGCGAGTTGATCCAAGGTGCCCAATTTTCCGCTGCGTAGGGTAGACATATTGGAGGAACCTTTTTGGTTTAAAAAGAACGAGGTGGCCTTCTGTCGCGGGAGGGGCTGTTGATGACTTGTGGGAGGAGCTGTTGATGACGCCGCACGTGTGACCCACTGGCGGTGGACTAACAGGAAACAGCTGATAGCAGGAATTAGCGAGCAGCTAGTAGCAAGAGGGAAACACAAACCTGACAGACACTGTAAAGATGAGCAACTGGGGAGACAAGGAATTGCGCGCCCTCCTTGTCCTCGCAAACAAAGAGGCCATTAACCGTCAGATGACGGGGACGGTGAAGAACGGGCCGACTTACGAGAGAATCGCCGAAGGACTGACCAGCCGCGGCTTCCCTCCCACGTCACTGTTTACGTCACACGCTGAGCTACACGTTTTGTTACTTGCTCACGCCCCCCATTGCCCCGAAAAAGGCACATTCTGTATAAACAAAAGTAGGTAGGCGGTAGGTATTTTGTTTTTATACTGCCAATGCTGAAAAAAGACTGATTGGGCTTTCCTGCAGATTTGCACAACTCCTGTCTAAAAAGTTAAGTAGCTATAACAATAAAAATTATGATAATGATGATAAACTTTTTAAACAAATAATTTGCAAATCATTTGCTCGTCACTTCCAATGGCTTGTAAACATGAATACTGGAATATGTTATATTGTGGTTTTACCAAAGACTCAAACCAGGTTTGTGACACAAATAAACACTTAATTTATTCATTGTTGACAATTGTGTTGACTAGGTTTGTTAATGACTTTAGTTTATTATGCACACATGGTTTATTAATGACTTAACTGATGATTAGTACAAAGAAAACTTGCCCAATGCAGCTTGATTATAAAGACAGTATGTTTTTGAAATCTTAATACATTTTTCATTGATAACAAGACAAAGGGAAAGGTCTTTAAACAGTTGCATTTATACAGAACATTTTAACTTTAGTAACTTTATCACGTAGATTTACAGAGAGAGTAAACAGGCCCTCAGTACATGGGGCAGTCATACGACAACGAAAGGTTTGGATCGAAAAGTAACTACAGCTTTCTTCTCTAAGACACTTTTCCTTGTCTGATTTCTTGCACATTGTATAGATAAAAAATGGTTCGGGGAGATGTTAAAAAATTCAGCGAGCCTTGGCGTAAACCTTGAAGGGGAGCGGTACATGTGTCGTTCCAGTAACTCCCTCTGTGCTCAGCTCTACTCCATCAGGAACGGAGAAAGTGAACTTCTGGAGTAAACCAACCAAAAACAGAAACAGCTCCATCCTAGCGAGGCCTTCTCCGAGACACACGCGCTTCCCTGAAAAGTCCACAAACATACACACATGAAGACATACAAACTCATGATTAAACATATATTCTGGTTCAAGTTATGCTTCAGATTTTGATGAATGTGTGGGTTACCTGCAGAGAAAGGCAGGAGAGCTTCTTTCTTCACAAACTTTCCCTCAGCATCCAGGAAGTGTCCGGGGTTGAAGGTGTCTGGAGTCTCCCATTCAGTTTTGTCGAACAGCACAGAGGTCAGGATGGGCATCAAGGTTGTACCCTAAAAACAAGATACATAGGTTAACACCAAGCAATGACACATCAACAACAATCATATTTCAGAGATAAACCTGTGAAGACTTGGACTTGTGGATGACTGTGTGCTAGATGCACCTTGGGTATGAAGTAACCACCCAGTGTCGTATCATTGGCGGCCATTCTGAGTGCATTGAGAGGAACGATGTTTCCCATCCTCTGGACCTCATGGATGACAGCGTCAGTGTAGGGCAGGTTGGGTCTGTCTGCCATACTGGGCTGTCGGGTCTGTCCGATCACTCTGTCTATCTCCGCCTGGACTTTGTCTAGAAAACAAGACAATTGAAAGAATTAAGTTTGTAGCAACGTGGTGAGGAAAAAACTTGATGTTAATGACAGTAATCCAACGAGACATGTTCATACTAACATGCTAAACTAAGATGGTGAATTTCAGCATGTTAGCATTGTCAGTTATCACAGCTGTTTGCATGCTGATATCAGCATTTAGCTCAAAGCATTACTGTGCTGTAGTCCAGATTCACGAAGCGCCAGCATCGCTTTAGACTCTTTTAGTCTCGTTTCCTTGCTGTTTTGCATTTAGCTCAGTTTGGGGCTGAGCATGTCACCTACGCTGGATATCAGGGTTTTTGATGAGGTAAATCAAAGCCCACTGCAAAGTGGTGGCGGTTGTTTCTGTTCCAGCCAGGAACAGATCCAGAGAGCACAGAGCCAGATTGGTCTCAGTGAAGCCCGGGTCCGTCTCTTTGTGCTATTCAGAAATACAGAGAAGATACAGTAGTGAGTGGCAGATAAATAGACTGGAAGGGCAACGCATTGTTGTGCAGTGCGATGCAGTTGTTCACGTACATTCTCCATTTCAATGATGAAAGCGTCAATGTAGTCCCGGGGATTGCTGTGGTCCAGGTCCTTCTTGTGGCTCTTTACCTCCTCACTGATGAAGTCGAAAATGCTGTTGAATTGACTGAACATTTTGTTGTGAGGACCTGGCATGTGCTTCATTATTCGGGGGAATGAGTCATACATCTATTCAGAAGTAAACAATAAATGAGAGAAACTTTAATTTGCATTACCTTTCATCTTATGTAAGTAAATTTGACCACAGACATGGGCCTCCCAATCAGTTTAGGAAGACTGATTTCCAGGGTCTCACCAGGATGCTGTCTCTCTGACAGTGTTTCAAGTAAATGGATATTACTGACTTACCACACCCCATATAGAGCCCTCCACCTGAAGAATCTCAGCAAGATACCTCCGCATGGTCTGGAAATTGTGGTCGCTGTAGTCAAACCGTTTCGCCATCACCAGCTGACAAATGATGTTGGACACAGCATTGTTGAAGAGGCCGTCTGGGCTGAAAGGTTCACCTGGAGGAGAGGAGTCCACTGTTTAGACCACTGGTTCTCAACCTGGGGGTCCTGACCCGCACTAGAGGTCCCCAAAGATTCATGGGGGGTTGTGAATTAAAACAACCAAAGAGCTAATAGAACAATGGCCAAGCAAAGGCAAGAGGAGAAAACAGAATTTGTTTTTAAAAAGGCCTTGTTTTAAGAATGTGTTTGAGCTCTGATGGGGCCGAATAAACAGGCCTAACTCTACATAAACCAGCACAGTTTCTGTCCAAGCCCAACCTGAGCCCAGACTGTGGCAGCAATTTTGAGCCCAAACCCAATTTAAAAACCTCAATTGCTACTGTAAAATAAATGTATATTATATATTTTTTAGTTTGTTTGTTTATTCTGTCCTTATCTAAACCTGGTAAATAATAAATATACACATGCAGTTGATAAACTGAAATCAGGGTGGAGCAGTCATGTGTGAAGGGCATATAGGTAAGCTCCATGTAATGAGAATCAGGTGTGTGGAATGGGGAGGCAAACGTTTTTGATGTTGTGAAAGCATGTTGAAAAGCATCAAGTTTGTAGCGTGTTCAAATTGAAATGCTGAATGGAATAATAATATGGACAAGGCTGTCACCCTCCTGTTGTGGAGAGCATGTATATATTGTATAGAGAGAATAAATGGATCGCCAAATCCAAAGAGATAAAGCGCACTGGACATTGGTTTATTGTTAGCCCCGAACATGCATCCGGAACAAGTTCACCTATTTGCCCCTCAGTGGCTTGTTCAGACATTTTGTTTTGTTAAAAATTCACTACACAAACTAAGGACTGATGTGTTTACTTGCACCACTGCTCGAACCCAGCGGGTTGGGTCGGGCCCAGTCGGGCTTGCAGACAGAGAATCAGAGCTCTAGCATGTATGATTGTTTAAACAAAAACTAAACACAGAGTCCTGTTGAAAGGTCAGGAAATATCAGGAAAACTCATCCCCAATGCAATATACACAGGAAATAATCTGCTCAAAATTCATCAGAAGTGCTCATTTTACACAAACTTTCAGCAGTTTGGCATTTTGATTAATCACACAGTTCATCAGTTGTTCTGAACTGGTATTTTTATGCATTTAATTTATTTATAATACACATAAAATACGTCACATAGTCCGGAGATGTCAGTTTACTCAATGATAGAAAAGGGGTCCCTTAAGGAAAAAGGCTGCGAACCACTGGTGTAGACAGTGTTATATGACTGATGAGCCTAATTTGTACTCATTGTGAACCACCTTTCTCCTTCTCTATCTCCTCCTGCAGGTGTCGGGTCTCCTCACAGATTTTCTGCTCGATGGCGTTTTTGCCCAGGCCAAAGCTACGCAAGGTAGACAAGGCAAAGCGTCGCTGTCTTTTCCATTTTTCACCGTTGCTCACAAACAGACCACCTAGACAAAAGCATGCACAGAAACTAGGGTTAAAGGCTCAGTGAAACTAATTCCTTCCCAGCATGAGAACAGAAAAAGAGAGAGATTAGTGCACCTGGATTTCCTGGTTCTCTGGAGTAAAACCTGTGTTGCAATGGACTGTTTGGTCGATCCACAAAGTTATTGGCTTGTGTCACTAAAGCTTCCTTCATCATTTTGTACCCAGATACAAACACCATCCTCTCACCTCCGAGGCGAACACTGAACACGTTCCCATAGACGTCAGCCAGCTGCAGACATAACATCCAGAAACAAACGCTGATCATTCACAACACACTGCTGCATCAGATTAACCTTTTAATTTGTTCAAAAACAAAACCTACAATGCACAACAAGGAAAAAACTGGCCACCAGGTGCACCAACATCAGAATTTCCATCTATGTTTTTTACAATTTGACCACCAGATGTCATTATCTGCAATTAGTTTCAATATAAGAATTTGTAATTTAAACACAAATGCAAATTTCCTGAGGAGTGTGAACAACTTAAAGATAAATTCTCTGGGTGAATTAATAAAATAGTAATTCAAACTGCTTTTATTGTTTTCGTACAGTGGCAAAGTCGTTATTGTCCACACTCGCCACAACACTGACAGCCGTGCTTGTAAAAGATCTTAAACTGATTGATGAATTCAGTTAAATTGATCAAAGTAATCAAGTTTAAATGCTTTAAAATGTCTCATTAAAATTCACAGTTAAAAATGAAAACATGCATTTAAATTTTTTTTTTTTAAATTTCAAATTTTACCTTGGTAAAATATTTGTGTGGATGTTTAGTGTCCACACTAAAGAAATTCCCCACAAGGGGAAGAGCCAACGGTCCTGGAGGATAATTTGAAGGTTTCCTGTTTTTGAGGAAGTCTGCTATGAGGATAAAAATAAAAATGAACAGGAACAGCCCCTTGAGGTCAAAACCGAGCAAAAAATTATAAAGCCACATTCTTATGGAGAGCAAAACCAGCTGCAGGAGGAAGGTCGGAGCTTTTCAGGACTTTGTGCTGCACTACGCACCACACACACATTACAGGACAGATGACTTAAAAACAGGTCAGTAATGAGGCTGCACAAAGGTCCTTGTGACAGATAAGGTCCACGAAACCATATAGACACGCCTATTTTTTCCACTGGCAAACACGATTTCTGTCAACCTGAAGTAATAATAATGAAGCAATATCATGCCTTTATATAATAACATGATTGCAACTATTCATGAGCAACATCAGCTCAGCAATATAAAATAGACGTGCAAAACCTCCACTGTCTTTCAGTAACCTTAGAGTGGATGTTTATAGTGTAAAGTCCAGCTAAAAATACTAGGTGCAGTAGGAATAGAGGTGAGTCAGATGATTCATGGTGCAGTTGCATGCAAATGAGTTTCTATCAGCTAGAAACAAATCCAGACACCACAGAACCAGATCGTCAGAACCCAGTTCACTGTGTATGTTGTACTGTCAGGCGCAGAAACAAAAACATGTGGTCAGTTGAGAAAGGTGCTAGTTTTTGATTCTCATATATATTGAGATGTAATGTACAGATACAGAACAGAATAGAAAGCCTGTATTGTCATTGCATGGGAATACAACGAAATTAGTTGCGACACTCAAGTGATGCAGTCCAACAAAGAACAAGGGGTCCTGTATCACGCTTCTTCCTGAAGTCCACGATATAAAAGATATAATTATATAAGATTGTAATATACAATTTAGAACCACTGAAGATGTCATTGTGACGTCCTGGCAGGCATTTTATCAGAGCTGTCTGTATCCCCCTTATTCCTAGCTCCCATGATACCTTGCTTGAGTTATGGGTGCGACTTCCAGCGCCAACCTGGAACTGGCGTTTTCCAATGGTATTTAACACACAGGTCTGAAATACACACACATGCACAAACAGGATCTATACATGCACAAAGTGGAGAGATGTCAGAGTGAGAGGGCTGCCATGGACAGGCGCCCCGAGTGGTTGGGGATTGCTCAAGGGTAGTTGGTGAACTGGCACCTCTCCAGCCACCAGTCCACGCTCCATATTTGTCCGGACGGGGACTTGAACAGGCGACCATCCAGTTCCCAACCCAAGTCCCTATGGACTGAGCTACTGCCACCCATAACTGAACCTAACGGTATGCTAATCCTCTTTTCTGAAGTGTTTTCGAAATAAAACATGTGAAATACACCACCTGCTACACCTGCTACAGGATAACATGATATTACCTCTGATATCTCTGACAGCCGACTCAAAGCATTGGTTGTTTTCCTTTTTAAAATAAGTGTGTTAGCGATGAGCTTGCCTTGCTACGTTTGCATATTGTTAAATCTAACAGAGCCCAAGCTAGCTTACGGTGAACATCTACTTCTAATTGACGATTTATGACTTCCTACGACTCATAAACAGACACTAAGACATTCGGCAAACAGTTAACATAATTCAGAATTAATTTTAGCTCCGTGTGAAGTGAATAAATCTCTGCTTGTCTCCACAATTTTATAACTGCTGCTTTATCAAATCTGAGTTCTACTGAGTGAAACATAACGCTGACTTTAGCAGCAGACCTCAGTAATATCAGGAGATGTAAGCACAGAGGTGCCTGTCGCACCTCTGACAGTGCCATTGTGCAGGCTGCAGGGTCATCAGCAGGGAGCCACCCTTCTCAGATGTTTCGCCCCATTATTCCCGGAACATAGGTAGGGACGTCTCTCAACCACCCCCTGCAGCCTGCTTAGGATCCTTCCTTTCCCCACGCCTTGTCCTTCCTCCGGAGCCAGATCCAAAAGGTCCCTTGCTCTGCCTCCTCCGCCAGATCTTGGAGGGCCCACTTCTTGCGGGACCTGAAACTCTGAGCGTTTTCAGGAGCCGCTGTGTGGATGTTCCAGTGAAGCCCCTGCACCTGTCTTCCACTGGGAAAGTGAATGCTCTCCACCCAGCTTACGAGCATGTGGCTGACAGTTCCGCGTACCTCTCCTCCTTTCTCTCATATGCAGCCTCCATCTCTTCTTCCCATGGGAGGGTCAGCTCTTTCATAATAACTGTTCTGGCGGGAGCTGACCAGAGCATGGTGTCTGGACATAGAGATGACATGGTGATCTCTGCAGGGAATTTCAGCTGGCGGCCGAAGTCGGACGCTAACTGCCACTTGCCACTTGATAGGAGGGACCGCTTGTTCTTGGTGCAGTGCTGCATTTCTCTCCCTTGAGAGAAGTATGATATTGTATAAATAATATAATATTTTATTATATTATTATATTATATAATGACATAAAGTAGTTGTAAAATAAATAACTTTGGACATTTGTTTTATATGATATGAAAGAAGTACGGTAAATCAGTAACATTCTCAGCTGAAATGACTCAGCACATAATTCAAGGTGTGCTACGAGGTTTATTTACTTCTGCAGGTTAAGAATGCAGTCAGACAGGGACAGATGGGACAGACAGGGACAGACGGGGGCAGACAGGGACATCATGTGCTAACGTTGAGTGACAGACCTGTCAGTCTATGTGTCATTCTCTTCTGCAAATTCTGATTTAATACTTTGCCACTCTAGACACTCCTTTGGGTTTATTATTTCTTATGTCATGCTAAGCATGTGAAAACCATAGACTGTATATACATTGTCCACAAAAATAAAATGTTAGTTTAATATCTGTTTAAATGAAGCAGTATTTTACTTTTAAAAACAACCATCAATTGTGGCACTGGTTGGATGAAAAATGACACAGTGAGATGTTGCAAAATTCAGTGAGCCTTGGCGTAAACCTTGAAGGGGTGCGGTACACGTGTTATTCCAGTAACTCCCTCTGTGCTCAGCTCTACTCCATCAGGAACGGAAAAAGTGAACTTCTGTAGTAAAGCAACCAGAAACAGGAACAGCTCCATCTTGGCGAGGCCTTCTCCGAGACACGAACGTCTCCCTGATGTGTCCACAAACACATGCACACAAGGTGTGACTATGTAAAACGTGTATTTTAGTTTAGGTTATGCTTCAGATTGAGGTGAATGTGGTTTACCTGCAGAGAAAACCAGAAAGGCTTCTCTCTTTACAAACTTTCCCTCAGCATCCAGGAAGTGTCCGGGGTTGAAGGTGTCTGGAGTCTCCCATTCAGTCTTGTCGAACAGCACAGTGCTCAGGTTGGACATCAAGGTCGTACCCTTAAAAAGATACATAGGTTAACACCATGCAATGACGCATCAACACATTTTCCCTCCTCAGAAGACCTTGTAAGACTTAAGTTGACTGTGTACTGAATGCACCTTGGGTATGACGTAACCATCCAGTGTCGTATCCACGGCGGCCATTTTGGGTGCATTAAGAGGAACAATGTCTCCCATCCTCTGGATCTCATGGATGACAGCGTCAGCGTAGGGCAGGTTGGGTCTGTCTGCCATACTGGGCTGTCGGGTCTGTCCGATCACTCTGTCTATCTCTGCCTGGACTTTGTCTAGGAAACAAGTCAGTTGTAAGAATTAAGCTTTTTAGAAACAGGGTGAGAAAAACGGCAATTTTTGAATTTGTATCAGCGTCAGTTGTATTTTGTGTTTAGTGCTAATCAGCAACCAGTATGCTAACATGCTCAACTAAAATGGTGACTATCAGCATGTTGGCATTGTCGTTGTGGGAAATGTTAGCGCGTGGATGTTAGCATTTAGTTCTAAGAAGACTTGCACCGATTACAATTTTTTGGGCTGATACCGATTTCCGATTTGCAGAGTGTTTGGATGGCCGATTCCGATTTAATTTTTGTCAAACCACTTTACAGCACACAAGATATTGCAATATTTTCTATCTTTCCTTTATTAGAACATTTTAACCAAGATACAACCAGCTTCAATAATCATCTCAAATAAACAAACAAACAGTGACACAGGTTAAGAAATATTTTCCTTCCGATTCCTTGCACATGTGCGTGTCGGTGCATTGCTGATGTTACAGGATGTCAACCATGCGGCGCGGCGGAAATTTGACCGGCGTTTTAAATCTGCATATTTTAGACTGACCGGCTGGTCGCAGGTCACGGCTGTTCACGTGAAAACCGGCCTGATTCCAAGCACTGCCCATTGATCGATGCAAGTCTAGTTGTAAGCATTGCAGTGCCCAAGTACTGCCTCACAGAGCCATTAGCATGGCTGTAAAATGTTTAAAGCCCCTACAAGGAACTTTCATTTTGAGTTGATTTGGCGACCCTGTGGACAAAAGCAGTAGTGTTTTGCCGGAATGAAGCCTACATTTCACACGAGCTCTAGTGCGTATTGTCGTAAAGACACTTACCTGGCTCGCACATGTGTTTGTTTTGGGGATGAATGAAACAACAAGATGGGAAAACTTTGCCCCCGCTCCTATCGGGGATCCCAGCTCACCACTGCAGCGCCCCAGCTCCACCTCTCAGGAGTAAGCGCCACCGCCAAAGAGGTAAACGCAGAGGTAGGCTAGTAAGGCTGAAGGCCTGTTTGGCGAGCACTTCCACGGCTTCTTGCACTGAGTATGGAGCGGTGCCTCGCCTCTTTATTTCTCGGCACTCGCTGGACCCTGTAGACGCCTGGCTGGTACCTGTCGTTGGTCCGGATGAGGTGTTCCAGCCCCGCGGCCCCTGCTCTCCTCGTCCCTGCTGGCGCGGGGTGAATCTGCGCAACCTGCGGCCTCTGTGTGTGGCTCCCCGGACAGCTAACGCCGTGGACCCGCCGGCTCTTGCCAGGATTGGACTGGTAAATGCTAGATCGCTAGCGAACAAAACGTTTATCCTGAAGGATTTCCTGACTTCCCGAGGATTGGATTTTCTCTGTGTGACTGAGACGTGGCTGACTGTTGGTGAGTCCAGCGCTTTCACAGAACTTTTACCCGATGGTTGCTGCTATTTTAACTCCCCGCGGACGTCGGGTCGAGGAGGAGGAATAGCGACTATTTATAAGAGTCACCAAATGTAAGCAGTTAGGTAAGATGAAGTGTGCCGTCTGAGTGCCGTAAATCGCTTCGTCCTGGAAGCGACCTGGGACGGACCCGGACACAGTTTCCTAAAGGTATGGAAATACACTATATAGAAATAGCTTATCTTCACACAGATGGTCTCATTTGCTGTTGTAGGTCACGCACAGACATCAGCAGAAACCAGAGACTTTTGCATATCCAGTTAAAAGTTGTAGCGGCTTTAAGTCTTGTTTCCTTGCTGTTTTGCATTTAGCTCAGTTTGGGGCTGAGCATGTCACCTACCCTGGATCTCAGGGTTTTTGATGAGGTAAATCAAAGCCCACAGCAAAGTGGTGGAAGTTGTCTCAGTTCCAGCCATGAACAGATCCAGAGAGCACACAGCTAGATTGGCCTCAGTAAAGCCCAGGTCCATCTCTTTGTGCTATTCAGAAATACACAGAAGATACAGTAGTGAGCGGTAAATAAATAGACAGGAAGGGCAACACAGTGATGTACAGTTTAGTTGTTCACGTACATTTTCCATTTCAATGAGGAAAGCATCAATGTAGTCCCGGGGATTGCTGTGGTCCAGGTCCTTCTTGTGGCTCTTTATCTCCTGGCTGATGAAGTCGAGGATGGCATTGTAGCTGCTGAACAGTGTGTTATGAGGACCTGGCATGTGCTTCATCACTCCAGGAAATGCCTCATAGAGCTTCTCACAATAAATGAGCAAATCACAGAAATTGTCTTTCAGATCATCACCTTTCATCTTTTGTGATAAAACTTGAGCACAGACATTGGTCTTGCAGTCGCTTACAAAGGAGAATGCTGCCTCTCTGACAATGATAGATATTACTGGCTTACCATAGTCCATACAGAGCCTTGCAGCCTAAAAACTTCAGACATATACTTCAGCATGGTCTGGAAGTTGTGGTCACTGTAGTCAAACCGTTTCCCCATCACAAGCTGACAAATGATGTTGGACACAGCATTGTTGAAGAGGCCTGCGGGGTTGAAAGGTTCACCTGGAGGAGAGGAGTCCGCTGTTTAGACAATGTTATACTGCTAAACAGCTGCTGACAATGAGCTTATTATGTGAACCACCTCTCTCCTTCTCTATCTCCTCCTGCAAGTGTCGGGTCTCCTCACAGATACTCTGCTCCATGGTACCTTTGCCCAGGCCGAAGGTACGTAATGTAGACAAGGCAAAGCGTCTCTGTCTTTTCCATGTTTCACCATTGCTCATGAACAGACCACCTAGACACAAGCATGCAGAGGAAGTAGGGTTAATGGCTCAAGAAAATGAATTCCTGCATAGCATGACAAGAGAGGTTAGTACACCTGAGTCTCCTGAGTACACCCTGTCAGCCGTTGCACTGTGTGGTCGATCCACAAAGTTGTCGGCTTGTGTCACTAAGGCTTCCTTCACCATCTTGTACCCAGACACAAACACCATCTTTTCACTGCCGAGGCGAACGCTGAACACATTGCCATAGACATCAGCCAGCTGTGGAGAATACATCAAGGAACAAAAACTGATGAACAAGAGAACTCTACTGCATCATAACGACTCATTGACCTCTATCCAGTATCATTGATGCAAAGTAAAAACATCGATCTACATTGTCATCTTTAGGATATACTTTTATTTTAAAAGTCTTTGTCACCATCAAACAGTGGCAGGCAGATAGCAAGCAGCCAAGAGAATAGACGATAAGGACAATTTTAGTTACTCGGGAATAAATCAGCAGTGTAGGAATATTTTCGACGGGCTCAACGGACGGAGCACATGTCGTATGTAAACAATGCCGTGATGAGATAAAACACGACACACCTTACCTGCCTGGACGGATACCTCACTCTGCTAACCTCTGGCAGCAACATTAGCAATTCTGATTTAACAATGTTGGGCTGAAAAAACGTGCATGCAGTCCGCTAGCTGCTATGCTACTTTATGCAGTGTAAACGGGCTTAAGCTAATGATGAGTGACTAGCAAGAAACAAAAGACATGTCAGTGATATACCTTTGTTAAATGATCTTGTTATTTACTCATGTTTTATGGTTGTTGGGAGAAGTCCGCCTTTGGGCTTTTTAAGCCAGATAGACCTGAAGTTTTATGAAAAAGACCACGGTTTGGGTTAAAATGAATGAATGAATGAAGATTTCTTCCAAAAAGGACAAGTGCAGTTGACAAGTTAAAAGTAATATGAACCCTCTGTCAAACAGAATTAAGTTTTCACCTAAGCACTTTGAGTTTGAGCTGCTACCTGTGAGCTAAGCACACAGGTGCAGCTAATCAGACTGATGTCTGCTGGCAACTTCGCCAAAGACAGCAAAGCTCTGCTTTGAAATGTGGGAATCGCCACAGACCTGTGGATTAAACTAAATCAAAGAGGTTAACTACAGTGTTTGCTAAATGGGTGGAAACAGACAGCAGACCCGCATTTTAAGTCCTGTGTGTGATTTAGAGACAAAGAGAGGAAGTCTGCTAAATGCCATAGGCTTGTGCAGATAACGTTAGCATGTTGTATTTGTGTGGGAAAAACGTGTCTAGCATAAGACAATGAATTTGTCAGTGAACCATGTGAGTTGTAATTGAGCTGAATTTTGGAGCATTACCTTTGTTAAATGTTGCTGTTGTCCCTGGCTTCGTATGGGTATAGGAAAATTCTGCTAGCTGCTAGGCTAATTTATACAATGCCATAGGCTTGTGCTAATAACGTTAGCATGTTGTATTTGTGGGGAAAATGTGTCCAGATCAAGACAAGTGCTTTGTCTGTGAATGCTGCGAGTTATAGTGAAGCAGATATGTGTACTTACCTTTGAAACTGTCGCTATTAAGACACATTTTATGTGTGTTTTTTTTATCAGTTTAACTTTACCGCACAGAAACCTCACAGGCTACCAGTGTTTTGGTTGTGTAACTGCAGAAAAGCAACTAAACTCCTGAAAAGTGCGAATGCTATTGCATGAACCAGGCATCATTGGATGTCAGTGATATAAACAAAATTACAAAGGAGGAATTGCACTTCTTCAATTGGAACGGTGCAATTGTTTTTTTTTTTAAGCATCGTCTTCCTCTAAGTCATGGTTTCAAGATCATAAAGTAGATTTCTTTGCATTGGTTTGAAGAATTGCATTACCTTGTTAATATGGACTTCAAAACTGTTTTGAAATGCAAAATAATGGAATCTTAAACATGCACTAAAAATGTAATTAATCATGATAAACTATTAAGATTCAGCAATTAATTGCAATTAAACTTTTTTTTTTGAAAGCCCTAAAAAAATATCATTTAAACAGAAATGTTACTTTCCTGAAGAGCAGGAACAATTGAAAGTCACATTCTCCACGTGAACTCATAGAAATAATTGATGGCATTAATTTTTTAAGTTAATTTGCAAAGTTATTTGTTGTTATGTCTACATACTCCAAAATACTGATAGCATTCACACAATAGAGTTTGTGAAAGATCTTGAACTAATCGTAAATTCAAATTAAAAAAATGATTCAGTTAAATTTATCAGAATGTCTCAATAAACTTGACACTTAAAAATCAAAGCATGCGGGGCGTCGGTGGCTTGGTGGTAGAGCAGGCGCCCCAAGTACAAGGCTGTTGCCGCAGCGGCCCAGGTGCGACTCCAGCCTGTGGCCCTTTGCTGCATGTCACTCCCTCTCTGTCGCCCCTTCACACTCATCTGTCCTATCGATTAAAGGCTTAAAAATTCCCGAAAAATCAAAGCATGCATGTGTTGAACTTTACCTTGGTAAAATAAATGTTTGGCTGTTTACTGTCCACACTGAAGAAATTCCCTACAAATGGAAGAGCCATTGGTCCTGGAGGATAATTTGGAGGATTCCTGTTTTTGAGGAAGTCTGCTATTAGGATAAAGATAAACATAAACAAGAATAGCCCCTTGAGGTCAAAACCCAGCAAAAAATCAAAAAACCACATTGTTAAAGATAGTTAAACCGGCAGCAGCAGGAAGGTCGGAGATTTTCAAGACCTCACACTACACAGAACCCACATTACTGACAGATTACAGACAAGTACAAACAAAACAGTAATTCAGATGGTACAAAGGTCAATATAACTGCACTTACATAACCACATACAGACACACCTACTTTTTCCAACAGTACAAGATTTCTGTCATAGTATACTACAATTCCTGATACCTGGTTGGAAAGTGATGCAGCAAGGAGGTCGTCCAGTTTATTTTCAACGCCTGTGCAATGGCCAGCAGAATGCTAGTTCAGCTGGTGCCTTTTTTCTACGCCATCTTTTCCTCAATGTTCCTGATATTTACATTTGAAAACAGCTAGCTAGCTAGCTAGCTGTTTTCAAATGTAAAGTCGGCAAAGGGAGAGTTTACAGACTGGTGTGCTGATTTCCTCATCCCGATGAGTAACTCACAGCCACACGCAGCCACTGTCCAAAGCCAACCACAAAAAGCACCACTAAGACTTGCAAAACTGACACGAGCTGACAGAGAGACAACTGGAAACATCCGTGCCAGTGTCATATAACTACAGTGTACATGTCTTAACATGTATACTACTCGCTTCATCTCACAGCAAGAAAAGCCATTTAAACTAATAAGTGATCAGGGCACAAACTGTAGAGGTGGAAACACAGAGCTACTGGAGGCTTTCTCTTCCCAGGAACTATCTCTGCAAAAAAAAAAGAAAAGTTAAATGGAGAGAAGAGACCTTTTTATTTCAATCCGCTCCACATGCTCCACTTTGGCAGTGCTTGGGAGTGAGATATTTGATCTGTGAAAGCTAGAAGTGGTGGGGATTCCTAATTCTTTGCTTCTTGGCTTTGTAAATATGGGTCCCATCACTCGAAATCTGCTGCTCATGGAGCATCAGGATGCCTCTTAACCAATACAGCTTGATTGTAAATTGGGTTTCCCTGGTCATGAAATTCCTGGAAAAGTTCTGAAATTAGAAAAACTGTTTTCCAGGCCTGGAAATCTTTTAAAATTAACAGAATGTTTTGGAAAGTATTTGAATATATATTGTTTGACTATTGTTTAAATAATATTCATGAAAATCTCAAACCATGTCTAATGTTACGCAAAATATTTTTCTTGTTTTACTAATTGAAATCTAGTGCTGCGCTGCCTGACTGTTAAACCATCCTCAATATTTTGTAGTACACATTGGCGTATGCAGTTAGTTGGAAGCAGGAATGTGTAACAGGCAAGAAAGTTAGCGAACACTAGCAGTTTTCCGCAAATGCCTGGGAAGTGCTTGATTCATAATGTGTGGCTTTCAAGAAACAAATACAACACATGGCCTGAGAGAGGCTGAACCTACCCACACTGGATGTAGGCTCTGCCCAAAAAAGTTTGACTTTGGCAACATGGGGGAAACAGCTCTGGTCAGCCTTAGTCTGCGCGACTATAAACAAACAGTTTCATTGGCCCAGCTGTGTAGTTCCGCCGGCGAATTCCACGGGGGGGTCAAAGTCTGGGAAACTTTTTTCACAGCACGAAAGTTCCGCCCTGGTGTGCAAACTTCCATAAGAACCCATGAAATCAACTTTTATAGTTTTTCCGTGAGAATAATTCGTGCGGATATTCGCCCTCAATGAGAATGGACTTTTAGACTTTCCATGTAGGCGCATGGAAGGGCAGGGAGGTGTGCTCTCCCCGCCTTAGGCTTTCCAAGTAGGCATGTGGATTTCTGCGTAGGCCCAGGGAAAGGCAGAGAGGCTCCAGAACAGAGCCATACTGCCAAATATAATACAGTTTTATATATTATAGTTGTATAATTATATTATATATTATAGTTTTGAAAATTCATTGGTAAAAATGTGTGGGAACCCTGTAAACCTAAAGAATGTATGTTCATGAAATCTGTGTACATTTTGCTATTAATAAGAAAGAAGAGAAGTGAGAGGAAGAGAAGTGTCCTATAAACAATGCCATTAATACAAGAATGTTTTATGTAAAACTTTATTACACAAAGCTAAATGCTCTGGCAGAGAGAATAAAAAGTACATGAGGCAATCATACAACAGTAAAGAGCTGTGATTTATAAGGAACTACGGTGTTTTCCAAACTGTCTGTAAAATAGGTGAAACCGGTTGAGGAATAGTTAGATTGCACTCGCCCTTGGGTGCCGGTCAGAACACAATGATTCATCATTGATCCAGCACAGCAGTAGAGTAGACCTTAATTATATTCAAATGTAGGTTAGTGGTCTGAAGACATAGGAAATAAAACGTACATACACCAGGTCAGCAGTAACTACAAACAAATTAACTAGAGTAGGCTTTGCTGATAATGAATACAAGGTAATCTCAGTTATACTACTACAGTTACTAGCAGGGGAAATCTAAAGCTATAATAATCAAACTAATAGTTCAATGCAAATGTTAACTATCAATAGCAAAAGCACACTTACACTCATATCAATACCAAACTATCAACATCAAAGACCTGCTGACCGTGTGGCTGGGTCATGGGCAGTAACATGTGCCTGCAGGTAACAACTACATGGTGATGTTAATGAACAGAAGCAGGGTAACAATACATGCATGTACATGTAGTGAGGTATATTGACCTAGCTTATCAATACTTCTTTACCAGTTACATTGTTAATAAAATAGAGATACCGTTAACCAAAGTTTAAACATGCTAACTTAGTCTGTTAACTCCCTCGGGAGTTCAGATCAGTTAACCCAGAATAAAATCTATCGTCAGGAACATGTCCATTAACACATAGGGAAAGGCGAAGAAACATAACAGTTAACCAAAGGAAACCAAAGAAAAGTCCATTTTAAATGGAGAATATTGCAGCAGTGACTCAGTGTGGGCACTCGTTTCCATCAGATGCTTGCTCGGGTGCACGCATGCATACCACCAATAGAAAAGTCTACCTAACTATTCACAGATGTCATTTCACTGCCTAAAGCTTTTTGCTTGATCTAATTTGTTGCACAGCGGCTAGATGTAAAATGATAATTCAGCGAGCCTTGGCGTAAACCTTGAAGGGCTGCGGTACATGTGTTGTTCCTACAACTCCCTCTGTGCTCAGCTCTACTCCATCAGGAACGGAGAAAGAGAACCTCTGTAGTAACCCGACCAAAAACAGGAACAGCTCCATCTTGGCGAGGGTTTCTCCAAGACACACACGTTTCCCTGAAGAGTCCACAAACACATGCACACATGAAGGTGTAAGAGAGGAAAATGTATATTCTGTTTAAGGATATGCTTAAGATTGAGGTGGATGTGATTTACCTGCAGAGAAAGCCAGAAGGGCTTCCCTCTTCACAAACTTTCCCTCAGCATCCAGGAAGTGTCCGGGGTTGAAGGTGTCTGGAGTCTCCCATTTAGTCTTGTCAAACAGCACAGAGGTCAGGTTGGACATCAAAGCCGTACCCTAAAGGTACAGATCCATAGGTTAAAACCAAGCAATGGTACAACAATTGCGCTCATGTGACTGTCTGCGAAATGCACCTTGGGTATGAAGTAACCACCCAGCGTTGTGTCCTTGGTGGTCATTCTGGCTAAATTGAGAGGAACGATGTTTCCCATCCTCTGGATCTCATGGATGACAGCGTCAGTGTAGGGCAGGTTGGGTCTGTCTGCCATACTGGGTGGACGGTTCTGTCCAATCACTCTGTCTATCTCCGCCTGGACTTTGTCTAGAAATACAAGGACATTTAAGGAAATTAAACTTGTAGCAAGGGGGTGAGAATAATGTCACGTTATTTTTTTGAGATTCCCCTCAGTCTCAGCTGTGCTTTGTGGTTAGTGCTAATAAGCAAGAACTTAATCATGTTGGCATTGTCATTGTGAGAAATGTTACCATGCTGGCATTAGCATTTAATTCTAAGCGTTGCTATATCCAAGTACTGCCTCATTCCGAGTTTGTGTAGACCAGAGACTTTGAGAGGGCGTTGTATATGTCAGTCATTTTTTAATTCGTCCAATCAGAGGCTTACAATCGTCTCTCGGTTAAAAACTAATTTCACAAATATGCCACCTAATGCAGTTGTCAATCAGTTTTGATTCATTGAATCACTTCACAGTGTTATAAGGGGGGAGTATGGTATGGAGGCAGAGTGCACATAAGTACTACCCCCAGCATAGGGGAAGACAATTCATTGCTCTCCATTGACTTCGTGTTGCATAGAGGTGCCTCCTTGTTCTTTACCTCAACAACAACACAAAAATGCCTAAAAGTGGTGTTCATGCTGGATGCACTCCTAACATGTCAGAGAATCCATTACTAAGTTTATACAAGCTGCTGAACCAAAAAAACTGAACTTTTAAGCATTACAACGTGAAACATGAGCACACTCAGTATGCCCACTTGTAGAAAGCATTTCGAGAATTTGACCAAACTGTAGAGCTATTTGATATCTGGTTTTGATCTTTGATAGGTTAAATGATGATATTACCTGCTGATTCAAGCATATCATTGTAAATATTTAATACTGTCCATTCAGTGGGATCATTTCTCCAAGATAAGCAAGGTAAGGAGAAGGGACACTGAGACAGACCGACAATGTTGTGCTTGTTAATGTAACTTCCTCTCCAGTAGACAAAATAATCCTTTGAAATGCTGAAACATAGGCTGTGTCCAAAGTCATTCACTTATTCACTACCCCCAACTCACTATGTAGGGAGTTCTACGTAGAGCACTATAAAGTGGGCTCATCCGCAACGTGAAAAAACACTTTCAGACGCTACTCAGGTCATTTTCTCGGCGCTGTTAATTACATAAATTGCTGTCGCACAATTAAAGCATGCTGTATCAATGTCAGCTAGTGAACCATCTAGCAAATACCAACATGCATATTTGTAATGAAACACAAAATTATACTGAGCATATTTTCCCAAATTAATAAATAACTAGTCCATACCCATTGGTAGCTTTGTCCCCTTCTACCTATGCCAGTCCTCAATGCCTATGTGCAGTTTCACATAGATTGACCACGTCAGTGAGTAGAAAAACGTGGGACAGACAGAATGACTGACTGACAGAATGACACACTGACAGTTTCTGTGATTATGTACAGCATAC